GATTAACTCTCACTTTAAATCAGTCAACAATTTCTGAAATCAAGAGAATGTGAGGGGACCTGTAAATAATATCGCTTTGTGAAACATGATTCAATTGACCATAGTTTGACAAATTTCAGCCTGACAGCGATGAGATACAACATTTTTAACTCATTCAGAACAAGCCAATTCTGGACCAAGTCTGAAAAGACGTTTAAAAACGTCTTTGGGAGTGAATGAGTTTAAAAAGGTGGTACCGGGTTTTTTAGGGGGTGTTTTTTTTTTTTTTTTAAACCTGGTTATTAAATTGACTAAATGTGGGAATCATCTTTAAAATATCTTAAAAATCAGGATTTGGTTAGCACGTCGACTTCACAGTGCAGAGGTTCGATTCCAGCTCCGGCCTTCCTGTGTGGAGCATGTTCTCCCCGGGCCTGTGTGGGTTTTCTCCGGGTACTCCGGTTTCCTCCCACATTCCAAAAACATGCACGGCAGGCTGATTGAACACTCTAAATTGTCCCTCTGTGTGCGTGTGAGCGCGGATGGTCGTTCGTCTCTGTGCGCCCTGCGATTGGCTGGCAACCGGTTCAGGGTGTCCCCCGCCTACTGCCCAAAGACAGCTAGGATGGGCTCCAGCACCCCCCGCGACCCTTGTGAGGATAACGCTGATCAGAAAGTGGATGGATGGATCAGGATTTGATCTCCAACAAGCATCAATCATCTGCTGCTGCATACATGGGTGTAATTCAGCAGATCGGTAATCAAGTGCTGTCTCTATGAATGGAAATAAATTAATCACGATAGTCTTTCGTAGGCTTCGTGTGTACTGCGCAGTGTGGAGTTTTGTGATTTTGCAACAAGTAACCAACCCCTCGCCCTGCACCTAGTCGTCATGGTTACAAAAGCCACAGCCCATCAGTTGTAGCAAATGAGAAGTGGCTCATTTTGCACGGGACGTTGCTTTCATCTCAACGCAGGCTAATTTCAGCCACAGAACAGCTGTAATTATTGACCCTTGGGTCACACACGTTATTAAGACACCTTGGAATATTTTTAAATTGGAAACGAGTGCAAGATGTTTTATATAAGCTATCATGTAACATGTGCTTGACTCATTTCATTCCCACCAAATGACCAAGAGGTAGAACAAATGCAAATATTGTACTTGATCCCCACACACATAGCGAGCCACATTTTTTTTTTTAATCCCCGCCTAAAGTGTTATTTGTTGAATTCAGTTGTGAACGAGCTTGCCTATAAACCGGTCGTCAAGCCAAACAACTCATGTGGCTACCGTTATGCGGTGAGTCAGGATCCCTTGACTGCATCGCTGAACAAAAACTGAATAAATAAGTGAAACAAATGTGTTACGTCATTAACTCCAAGCGGATCCCCCTCCATGCGACTGCAAGGCAAACCTAGCGACTTTATCTACAGACAGACATACGAAGCTGAGCTCAAGGGAGCCCGGGGCTCGCCGTTAGCCACAAACTTCAAAAGACTGGCAAATGCACATGTTCCAAATGCATCCGTCACAAGCAGGGAAAGTGGGTCAATTCCAAAACTCCCCACCGGTGGATGACGATACGAAATAAAATTTTAGAACCGTACATGTCTCCTGAGAATCACGTGATCGCTAGGCTATATTTTGTAAATGTTTAGACGGGTGAAGCTCAAATCAGAGAACCGCAGTACCAATGCATGCCGTCTCAAAATTTTTCGTTAATGACCAGAACCAGAGCAGGAGCAAAGAACATATGTGGGAATATTCTTGGAATCCGGTTAGGGATGAAAGTGGCAATCGGGGGATAGAGAAGGGAAAAATCCTGGAATTCTGTTCATCAGCAAAAGTCAAACTGCTTCAATGAAGGAAGCAATGATGAAGGAAGGACTGTGAGGAGCAAAAGACAAATAGTTCATGAGTAAGACGCAATTTCTTTCGGTGGCATTTAAAGATAAGGCGGCTAATCGGGCACATCGAGTGAGACTACATTTCCACTTCTCATTAAAATGGAAAGCCATCATATCCTGTGGAAAGCGCCCCCCACTTACGGCACCAATAAGGCAGCAGCTGCATGACTGGAGTGCAAAATAAACGAGCAGATGAAAAAGGATATTGCATCTGCATCGGAAATGGAGTTAAGCCGAGACTATTTTTACACATTTCGTTCGGAAGGCTTTTGGGTTACCTGCTCAAAAAGCCCCCTTGATGCTCAGTGGACATTTTTCAGGAACAAATCAGTCGGTTTGTGGTCTCATGTTAACAGTCCACTGACGATTTTGTGCTAGGACTTTTCAAGTATCATAGCCTAACTTTTCCTTCAAGTCCAATTTTGAATGTTAAAAAAAAAAACATCACCAAGTACATAAAATGAGGAGTAAAAATTGTCAAAAATCATGTCGTTGTTTCAGTTCTCAAAAACAGATGCCTCTTCGTCTGGCAACTTTCTTGTGCTTACACAGCTCTACATGTTTGGGTCGCACAAACACCCACATAGAAGCTCAGATGGCTGGAATATATCCGGCGCACCTGACAACTTGGAGACAGAAGGTAGATTACAATTTAGACCAGCAGGTCTAAGATCTGGCGCAGGCAAGGTAACGAGATTTTGGTGGATTTGTTTGAGGCGCAGGCAGACAGATTATGAGCTCCGCAGACATGTGTGGTCATGTCATTCCTAAATATGACAACACCAAACATCGGTCGCTCTGATTCATTGTAGAAATCAATTCATTGATGAATTATTATTATTATTATTGTTATTATCATCCTAAATATATTTTTTAAACTTAGGGTAGAGGGTGTGGTTTTGTCACACATGGACGGACGATCAGGAGTACAAGGGTATCTAAGTGCCCACTCCACAGCAACCAACTTTATGTCTTCCGCAAGTGGAGATCTTTCACTTTCTTTTAAATGTGCTTCGTGCGCGCCGATCTCCTACATACACTCAAGTGAGTCCTTCCACCATGCAACTCTCCTGCGCTAAAATTAAAGGGAATGAGGGGAGCTGCTTCCATTGGATAACAAGCAAGTCGGCTGTGTTCCCTCCCACAATGGCGCAAACTCCCCTCTCTACCTACGACCGTCTAGCAAACACCAAAAGAAATAAAATTCCACCAATGTGCATAGTTAGACTGCACTTTGTGCAAAATTGCCGCTGGGCGTATAAACAGGACCCATGGAGATAAAAGTTTTATGATGGCCATAGTTTGACCCTGACATTTTTTGAACATTTTAAACATGAGCATATTTCTATTTGTGATAAACAAAAAAAAAAAATATCGATATTATCAATTGCTGTAAATTTAAAACAACTTATTTCAGTAATACCCCCCCAAATGTTTATCGGGAAAATCCATCCATCAGATGGAGGCTTACATTAAATGGATGGCAGGCATTAAGAGGAAGTTAAGCATCCTGCAAGGGGCGGGGGGGGCAAATGCTGACAGACCCACCGCAGTGAGCATGTCAACCTTCGGAAAGCAGCGCCTCAGTGGAACCTCCACGTTGCCACATACAGTCAATCAACACAACCAAGCTGTAAAGGAGTTGAGCTCCAGCCGGGTGACAAGCCTCTACGGGTCTCATCAACATAACGTGACTGAGCTGAGTGTCTTATTTGCCCTCCCCTGCAGATGGCCCTGTTCTCTTTAAGGACCTAATCAAAAAAAAAAATATGAGCTGGAATCCGCATCTCTTTGATGGCAAAATGTATTCGCTAGTACTGTGCGGAGGCGTTTACTGTATTAACTCGATTGCAAATGGGGAGCAGGATGTAATCGGGTGTAGGCATTTTACTAAAAATGACTAACTGAGAGATGCCATAACGTTTGAAGAGCCAGAGCAGAAACAACATTGTGGGACGATCACGTCAGAGTTTGCTGGAACGTTCCTTGTCGGTAAATATGTCACCGGCCACATCATCAAAAATATTCATGAAAACTGCGTGGGGAACACCTTGAGAGCATTATTAGTAAGATTCTTCATCAAAGACAGGGGCTGCTGTTTTGATTGGCAACAGAATTCAGCAGGGGAAAGTCAAGTCATAAACTTTCTTTGCAATAAATCTGCTTCATTTTTATTTCACCATATTAATCCGAATAGCGTGTCTAGACGAGTGGGAGCAAATCAAATATATTGCAAAGAAATGTTTTTCCTGGAGTTCCTCTTTAAAATCTTTGTGTGATGTCGATCAAGTGATATGATTAGCGTTCCCCAAGAGGAAAAGGGATGCATTTATTTGAGGGAGGGGTTCATTTGTCTGAAGTTAGATCACACACTTGACCATGAGTCAGGGCATGGCATTTATTTGCGGAACAGAAACTTTAAAGGATATTTACCAGCTCAGGGTGCTAAATGCGACCTCGTAATACTGCATTTGTGTGTAGATGTGGTGAAGCAACATGTGGCTCGTTACACCAAGGTTATTTTTAATGTCCTGTTCCAAGGTGCTGTAAAAAAAAAAGATGAATGTTTGTGTTCAAGAGGCAGCTCAATGTTTAGGATGTGTGAGACGGCAGCTGGTGTATACTATATAATGTATGCTAGAGCTCTGTGAATAGTTCGGGTATTTGCTCTGTACAAGCTCTCCTTTTTCTTGTTTTTTTTTCTTCTTGTTTCTATTTATTACAGTAGCATTGGAAACATTGCCAAAACAGCAACTCATTGAGGAAATTCAGTATCCTCAGCTGAGGTTGGTTTGTCCGATAGGATCGCTGTGTCTTCGACCGACGCCTTCCCAAACCCTCAAATTATTCATGACACTTGTGTCGTACCAAATATAGAACGTGTACACCGTCCAATTCAAAGAGAAAACAAATTGCACCTTTCATGCTTGAATTAGTAATGCTTGCCCATGCATGCTGTTATTATGTGAGTGTCTGGTGGCATGCGATTATCAAAGTCCGTTCTCCTCTTCTTTGTACTGGCACGCGCGTCGTGTGTGTGTGTGTGTGTGTGTGTGTGTGTGTGTGTGTGTGTGTGTGTGTGTGTGTGTGTGTGTGTGTGTGTCTCTCACCAGAAGCAAAAGCAGCACCATGTCGGCATGGTCGCACACGCATGCTACATGCAGAGCCGTCCACAGGTCTTCGTCCTGCAGGTTGATGTTCAGGCCTCGCTCCAGCAGCACCTCTGCCGCCAGCACGTTGTTATGACGAGCGCACTGCGAAATGTTTGGCAGGATAGCGTTCTGATGCACTCGATATAAGGAGTTGTCGAATTCAAGTGGGTTTGTTGCGCACCGCCTACACCTACACGATGCAGACAACTATCTTGGGACGAGCGGTTGAGTTAATCCTTTTGTGCCTCTGTTGTACTGCTGGGTACATGCCATAGCTATGGCTCTATCTGCTATTGAAGCATTGGCAAAACCAACAACGATGAAGGGTTTTTTTTTTTTTGTATTAAATACCTGGTCAGCCGGGGTTCCAATATTGCACGACTATCTGTGTCTTATATGCTGCGTTGTATGATTTTTTCATTTATCTTAACTGTTTCATTGATGCCGGCGCGGGCACCCGCAGCGGCTCCTCTCTCTCTCTTGTGGTGGAGAGTAAAGACGTTTCATCTGTGCTGTATGTTGAACGCAGAGCGCATTTGACAATAATGTTGACTTGACTTGAATATGGATGAACCACTGTCGGTTGCTCGTTGGTCATGCGGTTTCGATTTCGATGCATCACGGGAAAGGCGGTGATCCCTTGACTCCAAAAAATGTCATTTGACTAAGCTCGTAACTCATTTCAAGCGTGTTTTTATACAAGTCTAGCTGCATAAGTGTTAATCATGCTGTTCACACAAAAGCAGTCTTCCCAGACCAAAGCACCGCTTATTTCGTTTCGTGGTTAAAATTCATTGGCGGTTAAAACGGTCGCATGCAAGACAAACTCCAGTGAAGTGGTACATACATCATCATCATTATTATGTCGCATGCAGCTGTGAGATATGCTGTGTCGCATTTGTGTGTGTGTGTGTGTTGCCTACCAAGTGTAGCAAGGATCCCCCAGAGGAAATTGGGGTGTTGGGGTCAGCTCCCTCCTTCAGGAGACGCAGCACTGCAACACAAGAGCAACGCCTGTGATTTACATTCACAACAAACACAAAAACGTCACAAATGGAGCACCGGGGCGATAAGGACAATCAATAGTGAACACTGGGTGGATGCTAACTCTTCATCCATCCATTTCTATCATGCTTGTCTTCATTCGGGTCATGGGTCAGGTGGAGCCTATCCCAGCTAACTTTGGGCAATCGGCAGCGTACACCTTGGACGGGTCATCAGTCAATCGTACGGCAAATATTTGAAAAAAATACAGACTCACATTCACACCTTTGCGCAATTTAGAATCTTCAACTAACGTGCATGTTTATAAAACGAGGAAGGAAGGCAGAGTACCCGAAGAACACCCACACAAGAATGCGGACAACATGCAAAATCCACACAGGAACCTCACGACTGTGAGACAGCTGTGCTAACGCTGGAATAGTTCACAAATCTTAAACAATGCCTGAAACTCCTTCACACATGCACGTGCACACCCATGCACGTACTTAAAAGTAAGCCAAGTGAGCTCTGAAGACGAGGTCAATTAGTCTGCCACTAATTCCAACTGTGATTGACCGTCTTAAAGTCATTTAAAGGCTCATTACTTTATTAGACAAGTTCAGCCTCATTAGTCATTGCGTAATACTGTACAGATTCACAGAGAGGACAAAAGTATTGGGACACCTGGCCCTATCACTTAACCCAGGAGAACCCACGGGGTCAAATTTGGCCCCTATAAATTCTGCTACTCAAATGCTACCCTTAAACCCCAAAGGGTCAAATTTGGCCCGAATCCTAAATTAGGATTAAAGCATTGAATATTTGAAAAAACATATTTTTGTGTTCAATGAACATATAGCAGTCATTGAATGTATAATTCATCATTTTCCAAAGAAGAAGGGTTCTCCAGGGTTAAGGAGTCACCCTGTTTGCAGCAACAACGGCTTCTAATCTCTCGTAACCGCTCACGTGCACGCCTTTTTTAAACAATGTAGTTTTCAATAAACGCAAGATGCATGCTTATGGGAACATGCAAACTTCACACAGTGCCTCTCAACTGTGAGGCAGAAGTGCTAATCGCAATCCAACCGTGCTGCCTGGAAGCATGCAGTTGTCCATAAATGTCTCGGTAAGATGAACACTTAAAATTAAAAATGGACAAAGGGGTCTACAAATAACTTACTGAATTGTCCTAAGATACACTAAGGGTAAAATAATGATGTACAAAGTCCATGCACCACACATGTAGCACCCTCCACAAAGACGATTTTCTCATTTGTCTACTTGGCTACTGACATCTAATATTGTTGAATAGAAATTGAACAGTGAAGTCAATCACGGTAATTATCCTTCATCTCTTTTAAAACTGGAAAGGCTCCGGACTCTGACTCCCCCAATTAGGGCTCATAGATGATTTAGCAAGTTACTAGGGAATACATAATGCTTTGGCTTTCCTGTATAATGGCTGAGATGCTCTATCGCGAGGAGCAACTTTTTAAACAGACAAGACACAAGCAGGATTTATGGCTACAGTTTAGGAAACGATTACTGGAGGGTTTTATTTTTTTCTTGGATTTGACAGGATTACATAAACTGTCATGAGCAGAGGTGGGCATTCTGTCAATACTGACAGAACGTCCTTCACTGACGGACACTGAGGAAAAATGGGGGGGGGGGGGTGACGAGCAAAGCACTGACGGATGACAAATGACGAACCGGTAATGAGACACGGTGATAGAGAATTAGTCATTTTATTTCCCTGCTTCGTCTTTTTGCTTTTGTTTGTTTGTGTTTTGTCTCTTTCTGTACCGGACATGTCGACAGCAGGAAATACACCTCCAATTACTTTGGATGATATTGAAATCTGATCAAATCTCGAGCAATCAATTTGCACCAAGAGGAGCGCCTTGCATCAGTCACAAATAGGAAGTCAGCGCTGATCCATCCCGTCGTCGGGGTCGGCTTTCTAATGAAGCGATTCGGTTCGTCATGCATCGTTAATCAGCCACAAATGCAAATCTCCTTAATTACTCTTTTAGCCCCATCTAGCACAATAACTGCGAGGCACCCTCTGTTTATACATTTCCTCTTATCTTAAAACATGCATGTTGTGTGGGGAAACGATCCAGAAATAATCACATATTCCTCTTGGGGATGGTGCAAGCCCAAGGCACGCGCGATTACTCTGTGCAGGAGGAGGACAAAAAAACGACTGTGGGGGAAAAACCTTCCTAGGATGCAAGAAGAGCGGGGAATACTAAAGAAGTCTTGTCAGGATGTTGTAAATTGTGATATATGACGCCCAGGTTTGCCTCAATGGTGAAACAACAAATCACGAAGAAGGAAACGGCTCAAGATCATGATGCTTTCAAGTTTTTCTGTTCAACCTAAATGGTTCCCCCCCGCCATGTTGATGTTTTCAATAATTTACTGGTCAGGAGGGCATCCCAAGGCAGCAGTGCAGTGTTGAATGTTGCCAAGTTAAGGTTCACATTGATGTGTTACAGTGGTTAAAAAAAAAAAAGAGAGAAAGAAAGAAGAAATAAAGTACATTGATGTGTTACAGTGGTTAAAAAAAAAAAAAAAAGAGAGAAAGAAAGAAGAAATAAAGAATGAATAAGTTCAAGCGAATTAAAACTTACATTTGGTTCTGACTGGCTCCAACTTGTCTTACAGTTTGGATTTGTAGTGCCGGCTGTTCATTTTTCAAGCACTATAGATCATGCAAACATATTTTCTTATGGACATCAACCTTTCAAAATACATGGCATGGTGAGATATTTCTTAATGAAGTGATCCATTTATGTGATAACGTAGCATCACGCAACACCTTATAAAGGGGCCTGGCTTTCAGTCGGACTGCTGCAACAGCCCAGCAGCTGCTGCTGCTGCTCACAGAGACCTCGACCAAACTCATTGGCAGCGAGACAGCGGAGGTTAACACGTTGACCTTGTGACAGATTGCCGCCGCTTCTCTTATTAGCCAAAGAGCCTCTTTAGCATCCGGCAACTTTGCGGACCGAAAGAAACCGCTCCAAGTCCGTGGTCCTTTATTTCTCCCTGAGACACTGTCCTTTAAAATCATGTGGCTTTGTTATTTCATTTCAAATTTATGAAGTACAGTGACTACCTCTTATTCTTTTATTTGTCTTTACGAGAGGAGAGTGCAGTTTCTGTATTATACACAGGGAGCAAAGCCAACCAAGGGCAAACTTGATTAAGTTTCTGCAAGAGGGAAATTCTCCCGGCACCCTGTCGTCAATAGATGTGATGAACAATGACAGATGCACTTTTTTTTTTTGTCTAAATGAAAAATGCCAATCCCAAGGTGGAGTGTCCTCGTAGAATAAGAATGCGGCTCATGTTTTTAGTTACGGTGATGACCTGACATCAGCACTGATGAACAGGGCAACGGCAAAGCGGTTGAGTTTTCAGCAAGTGTAGCTGTTGCGCGAAACGAAAATTAGCATATGGCATTTGCGGAAACGATCCAAAAAAAATGTTACTTCAACACAAACGCAGAAGTTACATACAAATAAAACTTTCAACAGTACTCACAAGAATATGTTCTTTTACCTGTGTGGAAATAATTAGAACAGCTTTTGTTTACTTTTCAGGCTAAGACGTGCACAAAGAGGGGGCGGTATTAATGTGTACGGCTATACAGTAATCCCTCGTTTATCGCGGTTAACGGGGACCAAAACCACCCGCGCTAAACGAAAATCGGCGAAGTAGCGACCAATTAACATATACAGGTTAAAAAAATTTTTTTTTTTAACCTGTAAAATTTTTTTTTAACCTGTATATGTTAATTGGTCGCTACTTTGCGGATTTTCGTTTATCGTGGGTGGTTTTGGTCCCCATTAACCGCTAAACGAGGGATTAGTGTATAAAAAAAAAAAATGTTAGTTTTTTTTTTTTTTAATCCGCAAAAAGTCCGCAAACTGTCCGCGAGAAGCTGCAAAACAACAGCGAGACACATAGAGCAACATATACAGTACTGTAGTCCATGTATATGAAAAAAACCAAAACAAACAAAAAAATGTTTTCTTTGTTTGAAAAAAATCCATGATGCACTGAAGCCGCGATCAACGAACCGCGAAGTAGCGAGGGATCACTGTATCTGATTAATTTATTTAGTGGGTGAGGCTTGCATACCGGTGTGCTCGATATACCGAATTCTATAGTAAATGGTACTTTTCCCTCCAACAAGTTGATTTATTTGACAGTGTCTCGGCGCAGCACCAACTCTACAACTGTATTGTTGTCATTGAAACTGTGCCAAAAGCTAGCATCTGTTCACAGAGAGATAGTAGCCCAGTGTTTGAAAGCTCTTGCAAACCGGTGTTTGCACCGTACACACAGTCATCTGCCCGTAGACGCACCTTCTTTGTCATCGTAGCGGATGATGGCGTCCTGTAGGACATCGGCAAGGCTAAAGCGGACTTGCTGCTTCTTGCGATGCGCCTTGACTCCACCTTGCTGGCGCTGCTGAAAGCTCTTCTCCCGCTCGTAGTACGCCCTGATTTGGTCACAGCGCATTCTCTTGACCAGCCGCTGGCGCTGGCCGATGGGCAGAGACTCCAGCAGACACTGGTCGATCTCCATGTTCTGACGAAAGGCGTTACATAGCTGGAAACAGCCTGGCGACGAGAGAAAACACAACATGATACTTCCGTTAGCAACAGAGGCGAGTCAATCGGAATAAAACGCTTGACTTTAGGGTTGACTTGAATGCACTTTGATAGCTACTGAGCTAATAACATAAAGCACAGTTGCTACTGTTTAGCCCGTCGGCAGCGTTGTTGCTTGTCGTCTGTCATATCCGTACGGTGCTTTGTCAGTCTCTCGGTAGACTTTAGCCAAACAGCCTGAGATCAAGAAACAGCAGCGCGCTCCCGAAATGTGAACAGCTGAAGCTACAAAACTGAACAAGTGATGTCTAGCAGGACAAATTGCAACATTGGTTCAGGGTGTCCCCGGCCTACTGCTGGGATATAGGCTCCAGCACCCCCCCCCCCCGTGACCCTTGTGAGGAGAAGCGGATCGGAAAACGGATGGATGGAAATATCTACATTCAAATTTGGCGAAATTATATAACCAGAGAGTTCAAACCACCCTGCAATTCACCTCATGAGACTTCAGCTCGGTGAACATCTGAATGGTATTGCGTGGTTTGTTTTGTCCGGAGCACAATAGAATGTGAACCAGTGTTGTTTTAGGAGGAATTTTAATCCGGCAAATGGGATCAAAGTTCATGAACTAAAGGTGATTGCTTTTCAAGGTGCTTACAATTTCACAGTTTTGGGTCCCAGCCAGCGTAAAGGCCAAATAAGATATCCCAGACCCTACTTGGTGGTCCTGTTTGGCTTTATGTCTGGACATTTATCTTATTGATCTTGCCTAAATTCACCCCACCTGCAGGACATTTGTCTTCACTGTTCAGCTTTGACGTGTCCGGGTTTCAATATCTCATCTCTTTCTGTTATTCTGTCATATGGTTCAAAAAACATGAAAAAAAAAAAACTGATCCATCATGCCCTCTATGGACAATTCATGATGCGGCAGCATCCATTATACGCTGCAGGCGATATAAGGCTCAATGCTGATGAAGTCAATCCCACTGGCTCATCACTGGAGCTGTCTTCCGGCGATAGTACCTCTTTCCCAACAACATATCAGAAATAAAAGTCACACATTTAAAGTAACGGGCAGCCACAGCATGCTCGTATGTCAGGGACCTAGATCCTAACTAGGGGACGCTTTCATCACTACTTTCCATCTGTGCCACCAAGAAAGATAGAAGAAACTATTAAGGCTCGGCAAGCCTGTGCAGCCTTGGTCAGTACTACGGTTCAATCATCATCGAAAGTGCATAATTCAATATTTTACAATCGATCCTGTACTTCTTCACACACTTCATTACAAAATATAATCTGTAATTGATGGTCCCATAAACCATTTGAATTAAAGTAGAAAAAAAAAAGACATTTCTTCATGTCTTCATCAGTTGGGAACATTTACGAATGAATTTGGCAGTGAGCTAAATGTTGATTCTAACGATTTAGACACGAGTAGGACAGTGACATTTAAATTACTTAAAAAAAATAAATAAAATCTGTATGCACGTGTCACTCAAGAATAAGTACATCCCTCACACTACATGCCTTATATATGATTAAGACAAATGAATGACACTACTGTCCCCTCAAAACAACTCACCACACACAGCCATGAACATCCAAACAGCTGGCAACAAACGTGAGTACACCCCAATGTGAAAATGCCAAAATTGGGACCTATTATCAATTTTTGCTTTCTGGTGTCATAATGTCACTCAACCATAAACTCGCCTCAACCATGATAAACAGGTTCCAAATTTTGTTTCCAGGGCAATTTGGCAATCTAATGAATGATTCTCATCAACCGGTGCCCTGGGATACATCGTGCATGAAACACAGATCAACGAGAATTTTTGTGGTTCCGACTGCTGTTTCACGCCGTCAACCTAATTTCAGGTTGTAGTGAAAACGTAGACCCTTTTAGTAGCAAAACCTAAAAGTTTCAGGTATTTTTGGTCAAAATGGACTTGGATATATATCAATATATATACTAATCCAAATAGCAGTGTGATTTCCAGAAAAGGGGCTACCCGAGCTGATTGTGGTCGTCTCCTCAACTACCTCTCAACTCCGCCTTGACTCGCTGACAATCATCCTTTCTTTGACTTGCCCTCTCGCTGCACGTCCTTCACACCGTCACCCCACATCCAAGGCTGCTGTGGTATCGGCGCCATTTATTCGCGGCACATGACGGACGTCACATTGCGCGGCGGAATTTATGTGGACATGACTCACCCTCAAGATCGCGGCATATGCAGGCAATATGTATGAGATTTTAAAAGATATACATCAAGAAGTCTTGGTTGCCTTGGGGGGAGATGGGGGGTGGGGGGATTGAACAGTCTGATAAACGTAGTCTGGTAAATTTATTGAAATCAAGTCATAAAAATGTCTTTGTTAATGAAGGATGCTTCATGGCAACAAACATCGCTCACGGTTGAGACATTCAGTAACTGAACGAGGATACTAACTAACACTTCAGGAACAGAACATGATCTTGCGCTCTGGTGGTGGTGTTGCGTGGAGTGTGTGGGGAGTCTGGGTGCCATTTTTTTTCCAGAGGGCGCAAAATTTCAAGAGAGGAAACCAATATATGATGTTAATAGTAGTAGAAGCTGTCGTGGTCATTGATTCACAAAGCCTCCCACGGCGAGTTTCGAACATATTGCCCCACAGTTGATCAAAAACAGACACGGCCGCCTGCGCATTTTCAGTCGCTTAACTGAGGAAACTGAACAAAATGAATTCGTAATAAGCCATGTATTCACACACCAGCTGCAGGGCCACATATAACAGGCAAGGACTCAGTGCGCGGACTGGCTAATCAGCCAGCCGCTAACCTGAGCTAGCAAGAGTCAACACTTCACTCTCATTTGCTGCCTCCCATATCACTCACCAGACCAGGCCCACCTTTTAAAGCCACACACGTCCGTAGAACATAAGGATGGTCACCCCAAGTGGAAAAAAAAAATAGCTACAACTCACAAGCATATATAGTTTTGGAATTGTAGCTTGATGATGCAAGATAAATTTTTATTCTATTAATCCACTAATGTCTGGGATAATCGCTGGGATAAATCCAAGTTGAGAAAGAGAGAGTAACTCCAGGTAGTCAACACCGCAGACTAAAACTATAACACATACTAAACAATAGACACTGCTACATTCAAATCATGCGATACAATTATGTCCTCGTCTTTGGTGAAGCAGCACGTGGCTCACTATCTATGATCATTGTGCATGCCATGTTCCAAGAGTATCTGCGATCCCAAGGCTGCTTTCTATTTAGGAAAAGTGCAGTAGAAGCTGCCGTGTAAGTCAGAAGCCCTCGTATGCTGCATTTTGTACGCTTCTGTTATTTCCCAGTGTTGATAATAATACACTTAGATGTAACATTGTAGCAACAGGACGCAAAGCGGACTGACAATGCAAATGATACATTACTGGCTTCCCCCATAAAAAAATGAAAAATAAAAAAAATAAAAAAGGGTCAAAATCACAACACACTCAGTCAATCAAAATATATTCCACTTTTCTTTCTACCAAGAACTAGAAAAGAACTTGCTGATGAAACCAAAAAAATCTCAAGGTCATTCTCCCCCTCCAAAATCCTAAAACCTATGCATGGTTGAATCGAATGAGACGAGTAGAAGTGCATGTATGAATTGTACCCAGACAGCAGAAATGTGAAGGGGAGGAAAAGGACAGGCATCTGATGGAAGGTGAAAGGAAAAAAAAAAAAAAGCAGCTTCTACTTTCTCATTCCGCTGGCCATCAGTCATTGATTGAATGTGAAACATTTCATGCCGGCTGCAGCTAATAACACGGGCAGCCACTGCTCAAGAGCACACACTTGATATACGTTGATGCAGAGATGTACTTTAAGGATTTGCGAAGCCTCATCCCCGCTGCAACATTTCCCATTACTCATCCCACGGCACATGTTGGCCGTATGTCAATTCGACTTTCCATCCCTTGTCTCCCCAGCACTTGTCGAAATCTCACATCCGGTCATCCGTTTTCCCTCTCAAGCGGTCTGCTCTTGTGTGAAAAAGAAACCCCGGTCATTCGCCGCTTTCCCCGCTGCTACCTGCCGCAATTCGCCGGTCAACTTCACGCACGCGCGCGCTCACACACAGACGCACACACATCTGCAGCATTTCCCTGCAGCTCACACCCACACAGGAAAGACACATTATTTGAAGTTTGGATGGTTTGCAGATACTTGGATTTCAGAGCATGCAAAATGACTGTCGTTTCAACCTACATGTGCACCAATAAGAACGGGTTACTTACAGCATTTGATGAAATGGTAGTGAGACATTTTAGAGTTATAGGAGTCCATCAGTTCGACAAAAAAATCTGGCGGGCAGGACAACGCCGATGCCGGTCAAGCAGCCCAATCAGCAGCTACAGGTTCCAGCTCAAACTGGATGCATTATTCATCTGACTTCCTCCACATTGTCCCCCCCTAAAAACTGTCCTCCTTGTGTGTGCATCACACACACGCGCACACACTCTCACGGAGACATCCAGCAAGTGAGCTGCCTCCTACAGCGCTTCGCCTGCAGCCAAAGAGCCGCGGCGCAGCATCTTCCCCAGCCATGACCGTCACACGTGTCCCCCGCGTCACTGATTGACAGGCGGCTCGGCCCACCTCCCGCTCAACACACCCCCGATGACGCAATGTTCTTCACCTCCACATATACAGATGCCGGTTCCCTTATCCAGCACTGTGACTCACGCTCACATGCAAATGCAAAACGAAGAGTGAGTGCGTGTGTGTTCACGTGGGTGCGTTTTTGTAAGAGCGGGGGTGCATTTAATGAATTTCATTCATTTCAATGGGACTCCTGACCTCATAAAGACAAATGTGGGGGAACAAGCAAGGTCATACAGGCGATAAGAATGGAGAAAATGTTGCTTTACCAAAGGGGAAGAGGAATAAAAAGGAGATCTATGGAGAGAAATGTGTGTGATGGGGGTTTATTGTAAAGAATGAAAGAGAGAGAGAGAGAGAGAGAGAGAGAGAGAGAGAGAAGCTGCTGCAGTGCGGCTGTTGGCTGCACTGACAGGTTAAGAGCGTGTCAGTCAGTCTTAAACTAGCCGCAAATGGATTGGAATGGGTAAGTGTCCCTTCCAAATACGTGTGTAGTTTGAGGCCAGGGCGCCTCCATGAACACACGCATAGTAAGTACACACACTTTGAACTTCCTGTGTGTGAGTGAGTGCAGTGTCATGTCAGTGTGTCTGTAGGTCAAGCTCTTGGCCGCATTCACATGGGAATGAATGGGCGAAACTTTCAAAGATAATACGCATGCAGGAGGGTGACAACGTCAGGCAGAATTCCCCCCCTCTCAAAAAAAAGTCTACTGTCGAAACACAACATATACAGTGGCATTAAAGACACTAAATAGAAGAAGCGGCATATGTTACTTGGATAACAGAAACTTCATTTAGGACGAAAATGCTGCCTAGTACATCAAAATGCCTGCATCACGAACAGAGTGATATTTATAATTCCATCTATTGTCTTGCTGGAGCTTATCCTAGCTGACATTGGGCAAAAAGTAACCGAAACCCTGGACTGCTTGCTAGTCAATCACTGGGCACATATAGACAGTCAGACAGCCATTCACACTCACATTCGCGGTTACTGAGTAAGAACTGAACCCTCACCGCCTGCGGAGAAATCAGACGAGTGAAACACAAATATAAAATAAAGAATTCATTTTTATATTCTTCAAAACAAAATGAAGGAGGAGCTATCAGCCGAGCTATTATTATTTTCATTATTCCTTTAGGTGTGCAGCGGTGAATCTTGATTCATCCATATTACGGTATTCAATCTGATAATATAAATGGGCGTATTATGCATGGGAAATTACGGTCGCTCACCGGTGATGAGATGTTGCGATTTCCTAGGACTGTTGCGGGTGAAGTGATCGTTATCTGGTTTGTAATTTGTGAAACCAACATTTATAATTATTTCTTCATGTTTTTGCAATGTGGGAGGAAACCGGAATACCCGGAGAAAACCCACGCAGGCACGCGGAGAACATTCAAATGCCACACAGGAAGGCTGGAGCTCGAATCGAACCTTGCACCTCTGCACAGTGAGGCGGACGTGGTATCCAGTTGTCTGCAGTTCCGCCAAGCACAATCATGCTGCCAGATAATTATTTTTTATTTCCAACAGTAAATGTATCTTTCTTAAACCACCTTTGCCAACGATGCAGCAAAATGTAATGCAAATAACCTATTGCCATTCATACAACAGAAAAACGGCTTTGTGTTGATCTATACATACTTAAATTTCACGCTTTAGACCAGGGGTGTCAAACTCATTTCACATTGTGGGCCACATACGGACTCGGTAGATGTCAAGTGGGCCGAACCATTAACATTATACCATACTGTGCTGTGAATCACCAAAATATCATCTCTTTCCTTTGTTTTGGTCTCAAGAAACATTGACTGGCGCTTTCATATCATTTGCTGCGTTGGGTCTATCTCGGTGACAGACTGAGACTGCTGTTTTCTTCCCCAATCAAAACAATATTGTCTTTTACTGTGATCAAAACAGTGTGCGCCCCTAGCGGATAATCCACGAATTGCATTTTATTTAAAATATTCATTCTGTGTCTTTAATGCATTTTTTTTTCACTTTTAAATGATCCCGCGGGCCGGATCGAACCTCCTTGGGGGCCAGTTCCGGCCCGCGGGCCATATGTTTGACACGCCTGCTTTAGACATATAAATAATTACAACTGTATTCTGTCAATTGAGTGGAATGGACTGTTTGTGACTCGAAGCAACTGAGAGCGTCGTACTCGCAACCAGCCAGCAAAGACACTGTTGAAGTCTGAAGAGAGCAACATGACGTCAGCTACTGAGAGAAGAGCTAAATCCAGCTCATTACTAAAAATAACATTTGATGGGCCATTTCACCATAGCCGATGATAGTCAAATGTTTGCACAGTGTGACAAAAGACAACTTGTGACACACATTTACGAAACGTGACATCATGCACTTATTTGTGGGTTTTTGTTGCATTATCTGATGGGAGATTATGAGCCAATCTGCCAAAATAATAAAACACATTCGAAAGGCAGGTGAGGTTTATTTGGTGGAGAGAGTGGAACTGCGGAGCCATCTTGAAAGGGAAGCCGGGGGGAAAAAAAAAAAGGAGAGTGGGAATAGGAGGCACAGATGGATGTGTACTTATGTGTTTGAGTAATTCCTGTCATTAGAAATCAGGTCAGAGAAATGTGTTACGTCTTGTGACAAACGACGCCGGGACAACTGCGAGAAGTGAGTCTGTAGTGAGTGCATGTCTGGATGCACAGATAACCCCAAGAAGCCTGCACTAAAATTGCACCCGATAAATAATGCATAGGCACATCGGGAAGACGCAGAAATTCACACCTCAGCTGCAGTGGTGAAACAATCGCCCCCCCCCCCACCCACCCCACTCCAACACCCACACTCACCACCCCCAACACTCCGCCAATGACACCACACGCTCACAGCGGAGGATGTGACTGTGAAAATGTCATGCTTTGAGATCCAAATGTCACATGACATTAGAGCAAGCGGGTGGAATAATTGTTTGGATTTGGCTTTGCTCTCAGGCTCCCCCTACAGGTGTAGGGGGAGCCTACACCTGTAGCGGCACCAAACCACAGTTGTGAAAAAAAACAACCAAAAAACAGTTTGACAGACGGTAAATTATTTGGACTGGATTTGCACTAAATGGTCCAAGTGAGAGTTACGATTTTTTTTGTTACTTTTGTGTGGGCCAATTTGGAAGTACATGATAAAAGCGTTGCAAAAAAATGAACGCAATCGAATGAATATTCTGTACTCATATCTGAAAGAGGTCTTCATTATGATTGCGTGTAGACTGGATTAACTCCATCAATGCAAGTATGATATCATCAAAATACAATGAGTACAAGTCCCCCCGAACATATATGGTGGACCACAGCTATTTGCCTGGCCTTGAATAGTGAAAATAAATTTTGATATACCGTATATATTTTTTTTAACTTCCAAAATTTTTGCAAAACGACAAAGGATTTCCTCATAAACATTTTATTCTCTTGACAGAATGGCTAAAATACAACTATTAAATGTGACATGACAACTTTTTTTCTCAGAATAGTCTGACATTCCTCCAAGCAACTTCTTCTCGAATACATTCAGGGCCCTATTTTCGTGTGTGGTATAAACGGTAGTCCACCCGTGTACATGGGTGGAGTTTGCGCCGTTGTGGGAGTGAACATGGCCAACTCAATTCCTGGCCATTGAAAGCAGCTCCACTCATAATTAATAAATATAATAAATATTATGATGATTAAAATAATATGTTCAGCTAATTCATTTCGGAAATTATTCCGAGAGTTCGCTGCATGCTGTTGGCATATTTTTATGAACGAAATATGATGACAGCCCACCACACATATCAGTAGAGCGCAGAATCTGTCTTCCTGCACTTTGATCAAATCCAACAAAACTGCGTGACACGACCTGCGCCACAACTTAGACCTGCTTTCAGCGGGTCTAGCACATATAGTGAACTTTCTGTCACCAAACAGCCTCGGTTTTCCGTATTCCCACCATGGCGCAATGCGGTCTGCCAAATTCACAAACTAGACTTGCTCAGGCACGAAAATAATGATGTGCATGTGCACCTGTCTATGAAAATAGAGCCTTTTTTTCTCTCTTTTTGGTTTCTACTTTTCAGTTCATCTTCTGAAGCTATTATAGAAAAGTAAAAATACAACAAGAACATCCTGTTTTTTTAAAATACACAACATCCTGCTATTAGCGCCTGCAGGGATGCGCCTCTATGGAGCACCGAAGGGCCGCAGCGACAAGGTGACACAAGTTCTCGGTGTGAAACGCGGCGCTGGAAGGCAAATCGAGACATCTCCAGCGAAGTAGTGAGCATGTAAATGTGTGCGAGTCACGTCCTAATAATTTTTACCTCGCCGCTGCTACAATTAGGTCATGCACCAGAACACAGTGGAGCTCACAGACAGTGCAGACTGACTGGAGAAATTATATTTCTTCTCGTGTTTCAATGTTTCACCGGAGCCTACAGTGGAAGAACATGTCACAGAAGATGATGAGTATGCTCACTTTGACGCGTGTCATCCTGCCAGCGTTGCCCTCCGGGGCCAGTCAGCATTGTGACTGTGTTTCCACCACATATGAGCACTTTGAAGTCGGCGTACTGCTAGAAATGATTGAAGTCTTATTATCATTATTATTATTTTATTTTTTTATATAATCACCACAAATATTGCATGACTTGGGCTGCTGAAGATTCCCCAATTATGGCAAAGCCAAACGTGGGTGAGGAGGGTTGGCGGTGAATGCATTAAACATGAAAAGAGAGATCTCTTTGGATTAATAATTCAGCATGTTTGACATATTTACACAAATAAATATTTATCGCTCATCCCGGCTACATTTTAACATTTTTAATAGTATTTGCATCAGGATGATGGAGTTTATGTTCTGAACTGCACGCAGGAGTAATGTGAGAAAAACCTTCAAATACTAACAACGCACAAAAGAACATTATTTAGAATTATTGTTCGTGAGAGCAAAATAGAACCCCCCCCCCACCTTTTAGATGGAAACCGCCACCTTCTTAATGAGAGCATTTTCCCCTTTTGCATTTCTTCTGCGTATTTGGTCTCT